GTTTTTTTTTTTTTTTTCTGTATATACTAATAATTAAAATTTAAAAAAAAAAAAACATTAAAGAGTGAAAAATACACAGAAAACATCATGCATGTTTCCAAGCTGGAACCACTCTTCACAAACACTTCTCAATAGCCTTCTCTTCTAGCTTCTGCTTTTGCATTTCTCCATGGCTCTTGGGGCTGTAAAATCAATTTTAATGTAAATAAGTTTTTGTTTTCTTTATAATAATCTCACGACGTTTATAAAGTGGAGCGTGAATTACCTAGTCCGATGGCTTCCGAACCTTTCATGATTCTCAAACGCTTGCATGAATCTACAAACATCCTGTACGAAAATATGATTTAGTTAGAATAAAAGGAAACGAATACAACTGCGAGAGGAATGGAAAAAAAAAGAAACTTACTCCCATGGAACATCACCGACGAGCATCCAATCACCGTCTTTATCTTCATAAGTTGGAACAAACTCAGAGCTATTGAGAAGATCCATCAACTTTCTTTCATTCATGAAGTCGATCGTTCCTTCAGTGCCATATTCACCTTTAAATAATCGAAAAAAACATACCCATGTGTTAGAAAAAAGAAATTTTTTATTTTATTTCGGTGGTGGGTTCGAGTTGTTTTTTTTCTTTTACCCATTGCAAACGAGCTGAACATCTTGGCCAAGGCATCGGAAAGTTCTTGATAGCTTTGGTACATTTTCAGGTCCACCTTGCGAAGATATGGAGCTCCATCCATGCAAACCTTTACGAATGCAGCGGCACTGCCGCCGCTCGCTTTCTCCGTTCCTTCACCGCTCGTGTTCTTCTGCGCCATGATGTTCTTCCGGTACGAACGCACCGGTGGCCAACCCACAGCCTGTGCCCTACAAACCCCACAAATTATTCATGAGAAAAATCATTCAACCCAACCCTTAGTTATGTCTTGGAAGAAGAAATTTACTTGACAGGAGGCTTAGCCGGATCCTTGGAGCATAGGCTCTTCTGACCGTCGACGTTCACCGGAATATTCTTAATATTCTCGTTGACATCGACTCCACCACCATCCTTGCTCTGAATGTTAAGCTTCAGATCAACAGTTTCAGAGAAACCCCTCTTGCCAGAAGCTTTAAGGGTGAGATCTCCGGCGCCGGGTAAGCCGAGACAGAGCTCAGTCTCCTTCAAGCTTGCAAACTGGTTCGCCATATTCCGGCCGACAGCTTCCATATAGAGAATGAAAAAACAAGGTTGCGTTTTAGGCTTTCTTCTTGTGGTGTCGCCTTCTTGTTGTAATGACTTTAGCCTTTGGTTTAAATTAATAGAGACCGCTACCCAATAATATTTAAAACCAAACAAAAATTCACCCTCTTTTATCGGATAGGGTGGTAAAATCAATTTTAACCCCAACCATATTATTTTATATCAAATAATTAATATTTGGTCCCTACTATAAAGTTTTGATTTATTTATTATATATTTAATGCAATAAACCATATGATATGTCAATTTGTTTTCTTTCTTTTATACCACACCTTACATATTAGTATTGTATTACTTTGAAGAGTGAAAATACTATTTCGACAGACCAACACAAATATTTTTTAAAATTATTATGAATGAAGTAATATTTGATTATAAATTTAATATTAGAAAATTTTTATAATTTTTTTCGATGGAATAAAAACAAGACACGTCACATAGAAGAGAAATGGTAATTTTAGCATGTGGGGGGATCAATGAGCAATAATAATTTTTATATTGCCAATGTGAAAATTGGAATTTGAAGAGGGTGCCCTGATAGTTAGAGTCAGCCATCACATGCAACACACTAATCAACCTTTGTTATACACTAAATCACTTAATTAAAGTTGTTAATCTTGGATTCATTTTTTTTAATTATATTAATTTTTTAACTACTTTTCAATAATCTAACATTATTACAGATATTCAAGGTAGAAATTCAAAACTAGTAATTAATAAAATAAAATTTTGAAATTTATATAATAATAATAATTCTTAAACTAAAAAATTTTTTTTTTCTCTACTAATAATAATAATAATGTAATATTGAAAAATTATTGAATTCTATCCCATAACATGTTTCAATAATTATATGAAATAAAAATAAAATTCAATAATTCATTTATAATGATAATAATACATGTTAAATAATTAATGTATTAAATTACTCACCTATTCACATCCATATTGTTGTATATTGTAATTTCAATCTAAAAATGAACTTAATATTTAATTTTCGTGAAATATAGAATATTTATTTTACTAATTAAACCGCGATTGAGCCATTTGGCATTCGATCTCGTGGATCGATGAAACTTATTATTATTATTATTTTCTTTTAATAAAAAACGGAAAATGGATTCTTCCATGAACCTTCCTTATGAGCATATATGCACATGAAAATTATATTTTATAATATATCCATAAATAGAGATAATTCCATTATGGTTTGTCTATTGCTTTTTTTTCTTTAATTTATAAATATTTTAAAGAAGGATTCGTGATAATCGAGCTTGAAACTAAGCTTTCGAAGTTTGTTTCCTTAGGAGGGAAAGACGTCCTCTTGTCAGGCTGATATCAACAAATGACCTACTCAAAGATGGAAAAATAAACTAATACAAGATAACAAACGAGTCAATGTAATCCAATGCATTATTTGGGATGAGGACTTTGAGAGTTTACTATCATATCCGCTCTAGCTATTTAAGTGTATGATCGTGTAGACATCTAATAAATGAGGATAAGATAGTGAAACTCTTATTAGGCCCACGCTAGTATTTAAGTAAATGTTCTATTCACTGAAATTAACAAATTCATAAATATTTGAAAATAATGTAAAGATGCTAAATACATCAAAATGAGAAAGGGGATTGCAAGACATAAGAACATGAAGCAAATGGTATGAGCATCATTAGTTCTAGGAAATAAGATGACATGGTGGTGACTACAGGAAATAAGATGACAGGGTGGTGACTAACAGACAAGTCACATCTAAAGAAGAGGGAGACATTTCTAACCCTAGCTGTGCCCTTGATGTGTCACAATCCCCAAAACCCTAACCCTCTATCTCATTCAAAATCACATAGGCTTACAAGAAAACAAATTTATTTTGGCTTTCAATGCCCAAGCAATCAACTCACTTATCTTCTCTTGAAAGTGACACAACCCACTTGCTTCTCCTATCCATGAATTTCACAACTTTGGTGCAGAGCCATTCATGTTCATTGTTTTGTGAATCAAATTGATTGGTTAACTCGACATTATTTTAGAATATGTAGGAACTTCAAATTTTTATATTAAAAATTTTAAAGTTTTTTTTAAGTTAAATTAGGATAAATCTGATTAAAAATGTTACGTAGCTTACCGTAGCTAGATAAGAGAAAAATTGTTGGTACAAAAGATATTATCTCTAATAGTATTAGACCTTTTGAGTCAAACAAAAGATAAAATCACAAGTAAAGATGTCCATTTACCTGTAGGGTCAAGATCGTGTGAGGTTCGAGAAGAGGATTTTCATTTAAACAGAGAATGAGGTTGGAAGTGGGAAGAGAGGATTTTTGTTTAAAGAGAGAATGGGATTGGAAGTAGAAAAAGATTTGTTTCTTTTAGTTTAATGGAGCTAGAGACAGATTATATTCACGGTCTCCTCCTTGCCCACACATACCTAAATCTATTTTTTACTACACACCTGCCTTAAATATATATGTAGAAACTCATAATAAATATTTTTAAAATAAAGATATGGACTTACTATATTGACTCTAGATTTCTACTAACCTAAAGTCATTATCGTCATCATATCATACGGTCTTATGTGGAAATTAATATTTAAAACTTTATTATAAAACACCGTCATGGACTCACATGTTTAAAATCATTTTTAAAGCAACATAACTAAATACTAAATAAAACAAATAAAACATTAAAATTAAAAACACTTTATACTAACCAAAAGTCTAATAAATGAAATATCACTATCATATGCATGTGTCAGTCTTTACGTGCTATGTCTTCGTCAATCATATAGAGGTATCTTGTCTTTTACCTGAAATAGAAGTAGCATGCTGCTTGACTATTTTAAAAAATATTCAGTAAGTGACACTACTATTGGGATCACGGAATGCAAACACATGTAACTCATGATAAGTACCTATCGCTAAAACAATCATAGGAGTGATCTGCAGTCTGGACAAAATTGTATGTGTAGTACTTCCCTACACAACCCACACATGCAAGCGTGGATCCCCAGGCGGTTCGCACTCCCCTCGACCCATCATAGTCAAGCTAGCTTTCAGGAGGTCAACAAACACCTGAGTGTCATACGAGGCATGATCATCGTCGTCATAGTGTGCTCCGTACTCATCATCATAAATGGGGAGGTAACTTGATGTATATGAACGCACAAAATGCATAAGGTCTCTATAGTTTTTATCTTTAAATAATCTGTATGACACAACCCTATACATCTTTTAGATATTGCCAAGGTAACATGCATGCATGGGTCTTCATACGTTCATCATCATTAACATTAGTTAGGGTTATGTCTTAGAAAACTCATCATCATAATACTTCATGGCAGTTAATACATGCACATCATTTTAATATGAAATATCATCATATTAAGTCATCTCACCATCATGCATCTTATATCATCATGTCATCATTTCATATCATCATATACATCTTCACGTCATCATATAATGTCACTACATCATCATATAACATTACCACATCATCATATAACGTCATCATATCATCACATAACATAAAGCCTAAATGACACGTGCAAGGGCCACTGGGCACGCATCATCATACATAAGACAAGTCTTTCGACCGAGCTGATAGTAAGGCAACTTACTTGGTTGGCTTAGATCGTAAATACTACACCTCCTTGATGCTAGCTTAATGTTGCTCTCTAAAATTTAATTCTATTGGGGAAATCCAACAATCATAATTAGAATTCTACCATAAGAATTGACTCACCTAATTTTGCATACAATAATTTAAACTAACTAAACCTAATTTTACATAAAATAATTTAAATTTACTCCTAATAATTTAAACTATTATGCACAAATAATTTAAATTTGACCTCAAAATTTTAAACTAGCTAAAAGGTAGTCATACTAACTTTAAACGCTCCCGAAAAGTTGAAACTAGAAGAAAAAGATCCGAGCATATCAGACCCAAATCAGATCAGCCAAAATGTCAATCTTGAGCAATTAAAAAGTGTATTTTCCGACTATCTTAACCTATCTTGATGCATGGATGACGGTGAATGATGCTACCCTTATATTTTCAGATAAAGATAAAACTCCCTTGCATGGATGATGGTGAATGATGGAAAGACCATGGAAGTCGAGATAGGTCAAGATAGTGCACTAGAATTATTTTAATTACTAACTCTAAAAAAATGTGAATAAATCTGAAATTATTATTACTCAAAATATAGAGAAAACTTAAATATAGAGTGTTGTAAGCTGTATTTTACATACCCGAAGACTTCTGCACCTAACTACTAAAGTTGCAACTAATTTAAGCTTAATAGAATGAATAACTAATTTAATAAAAATGAATAATTTGACTCATTCAAACTAACAACCAGTGAATACCGTCTCACTTAGTGAAGCTTATTTCTATACTCAAGTTCTTTAGTAAATATGTCTGCAACTTGCTCATTAGTATGTATTTTATGCAATTCAACATTCTATGATAACACTTTTTCTCGAACAAAATGATAATGAGTTTCAATATGTTCCGAACGAGCATGAAACACCGGATTTCCAACCAGTTTTATTGCACTTTCATTATCACAATTAATTTAAATTGGCTGATTGAGAGTAGTCACCATTTCTTGAATAAGCCTCCTGAGCCACAAACATTCTTGGGTAGCCATTGTAGTAGCTACATATTCTCCTTGGACAAAGCAATAATGCTTTGCTTTTACTGCACCCTTAAATTGGAGGAGAGCCTGCTGTAAAACAAAAACCTATTGTGGAGCATCCGTCATTCACATCACCAGCCCAATCAGTATCCACAAAACCACTCAAGAAAAATGACTTTGATCTTTCATACATTAATCCATAATTTAAAGTGTCCTTGATGTAACAAAAAATCCTTTTTGCTGCAATTAAATGAGTCTCATTTAGTTGATCCATAAATTAAGGCACAACTCCTATGGCAAGATTGGCCTTGTGATAGTTAAATTAGAATAAACTACTAACAAGTTGATGAAAGAATGTAGCATCTTCTAATGACTTCCCTTCATTTCTAGCTAATTTGAGATTTG